CTGAAAATGTCAAAACGACGTCGTTTTGGCATTTTTAGACTATTTGAACCACAGAATTTGTGGCCACCAAACATTTTTCTTTATATTATTGGATACATGATATTGTATTATTTATCTTTATTATTTCAAATAACAAATTAATCACATGATATTGTATTATTTATCTTTATTATTTCAAATAACAAATTAATCATGAATATTTACGATGATATGAAACGGTGATAAAAATAAATAAATAATAATATATAGCATTTCCTTTTAAGTTTTTAGCAATGTTACAGGAAAATTTTAATCTACACACTTTTGAAAAATATGTATTGTATACCTCTTTAGTTATGTCATTTTTTTCTTTAACTATGATATTATTTTAGTTATGACTCATTAGTTCTTTAATTATACTTCATATTATATGTTAGTTGTAACATTTTTATTTATTTTTAGTTATAACTTAGAAAATATGAAATTTTATGATTTTTTATTCCTTTCATTATGAAATGCAAATGGTCCACACCCTTCTAAGTGTTTCCCAAATAAAAAAGTCACTACTAAAAGACCAAGTCTTCTCCCAACTTTATTTTGTTCTTTTTTCTTTTTCTTTTTTTTTTTTTTTTGTAAAAACTTAAAAAATCTACTAAAACTAAAACAATACTCAATTTCCAAACGAGCTATCATTCATTTGGTTTAGATGAAATTTTCTTGAGAGTTACAGGGCTGTTTGGTGAGGCTTTTTTGAGCTAATTTATAACTTTTGATTTTTAAAAAGTTATTTTGGGCTGTTTGGTTAAACTTATTTCAAATAATTTCTGATTCTAACAACTTATTTTAAGTCAAAAAAGCTGATTCTGAGAAGCTGCTCACCCCTTGCTTCTGATTTTCAGCTTCTGCTATGAACATGTTAATTCACGGTTATACTCTTAGATTTTTTTATTTTTTATTTTTTTAAAAATAGAAAAAGACACAAATGGACTACAAAATATTATTATTATTTTTTATGAGAAATGTAGACAAATAGTGAATAATAAAAAATAAAAGTTAATTGAAAAAATTACGTCATAGTTTATTTAACAAACATTACTCAATAACTTAATCTATAATTCAACAGTTATACCAAATAGATTAACAGATTCTGATTAAAGTCATAATTTATAATCTGTTAAGCTATAATCTATAATCTATAATCTATAATCTATTTTAACAGTTACACCAAACAGGATCACAATGGTTGGTGACTTTCATGAGGAAAAATATTTAAAAAATTAATAAGAAAGTTAACATGCTAATATAGATCATACAAAATTTCAACTCTTTTTTTTTTTTTTCATTTTCCAAACAAGGGAAAGTTTTTACTTCTTTCCCCAAAGTTTTCAGTACTTTCATGGTAACCAAAGTTTCCAAACTAAAATTTTCATCAAATCTAAGTAAAAAAATATTTTTTTTCTCAATCTGATACTGAGTGCTTCAACGATTAATTTTTATCAAATTTTCATCATATCTGTGATGGGATAACCGGTTGGTCGACCGGCTGGTCGACCGGTTAAGCCAAAAAAAAATTTTTTTTAATTTTTTTTTGAACTGTTTGAATCTTTTAGTGGTCGACCGGTTGGTCGATCGATAAGGCAAAAAATTTTTTTTTTTTTTTTCAACTATTTGAACTTTTTTTGAAACTGTTTGAACCTTTTGGTGGTTGACCGGTTGGTCAATCGGCTGGTTGACCGGTTGGTCTCTCCTAACGGTCATGCACAGTGTTTTGGTGAAATGCGGAGCCTGTCCTTCTTTTGGTGAAACGTTTGGTGAATTTTTGATTTGATATTAATTTAGTAAAACTGTTGAAATTCTAAATAATATTTTTTTTACTAAATTTTAAATTTGATGTTGACTTTGGTGAAGGGTTGGAGATGGTCCTCGAGGATTAAAAGAAAGAAAAGGTAGGAACTCGTGGAGGCATTTTGTTAATGAATGGGCTTTGTCCCCCTCAATGCTTTGCCCATGTTGACAATATCAGTTTCCATGTGCAACTTACTAGTTTATATAGCTCCCCCCACAGTCCTTATTACAAAGTTCATAATCTCTCTCTCTCTCTACCCCCTTTTGTTTTTCATTCTGTTCTCTCACTCTCTCTTATGAAACGGAGAATCCCTTCAATGATTTTGTCTGAAGATCAAGAATGAGCTTCTTTACTTGAAAGATTTGGTCTATTTTGAAAAATACGTTAAAAGTTGATTTTTTTGATTTTTTTTAACCAAAAAACTAACTTTTAACAGTATTGCAAAAATAGAAATAAACCCTAACCCATCATTCATTCAAAAGAACTCCAATATGGTTTGGTTTGGGAAAATATTTACTTGAAATTTCTTTTATCTTCACCAATTCAAGTTTTTGCTGATTGGCTCTCTTCCTTTCCTCCCTTTTTGGGCATTTGGCTCTACTCCCAATTAAATTTTCAACAACCCTTCTTGGTCTTTGAGTGTTTTTTTTTGGGTCACCCTGGTTGGAATTTGGATATTTTTACACTTGTGATAAAATCGTAATGATTGTGTGTGAATATAGCTCTAATTTAACAATGAATTGCATAAATCTTATATTCTTGTACATAAATGAGTGTTAAATTGCATAAATCTTATATTCTTGTACATAAATGAGTGTAATTTATAATTTTTATACTTTTGTTTTTATTTATTTTTTTCCGTATCTCATTGATCTTGATTAAATATTTTTAAAATCTCTCTCCCATGTGGGGCCTTTATACTTCTGCCTCCTCAACTGCTATTATTTATCTTGGGCTCATGATATGTGAGATATGGTTGTATTGGAAACTTGCCATTGTATCAGTACAAGAGAGTACAGAGCATGTCCTTTTTACTGTTCTCTATTAATGTCAGCTTATCCATGTAATCTCTGAGTAAAGCTCTTCAATGCCTGTTTTTGAATCCTGGTACATATCTATTGTTTAATTGGTTGATGGGTACTAGGGTTTGTTGGTGAATTTGATGATAAACCCTTTTCTGTTTTAGAAAAATGGAATCTGGAAATGGATTTTACTCTGTTGATGAGTTTAGGTTGGATTCCAAGTGGCTGATTGATCCCAAACATCTCTTTGTTGGGCCAAGGATTGGGCAGGGAGCTCATGCCAAAGTATATGAGGGAAAGTAAGTCAAATCTGTTTTGATTTTGTTGTGATCTGTTTTTTTTTTTTTTTTTTTTTTTTTTTTTGGTGATTCAGTCTGCCAATGTAGGATTTTCTTTTGATGTGTTCATAGTTATTCCATTTTTGTATTGGGATTTCTTCTTCGTTAAGAGTTTAGATTTGCAAATTCTCAGATTCATTTTGGACAGATTTTGAATTCCACTCTTTGTTTTCTAGCATTTATATCCTTTTAATTCTTCTGTTTGGGATTGATTCAAAAATTGTTACCCAGTATTCAGATTTTGGGTTTTTGTTCCATAGTGAATTTCCATTTCCATTTTCATCTTTTTTATTTTTTATTTTGTTTGCTTTGGACATCCATTTCTTGATGGGTATTCTTAGATTCTTGAATGTGCTTCAATGATATATTACCACTCATTGGTAAAAATTGTGATTGGATTGGGGATGTGTTGCTTCAGTATTTACAGATGTTTTTCCAGAAAATGAAAACACAAAGCACAACCAATGGGGTTGGTCCAAGTGGAAAGGGACTTGGGTCGCTTAAGCAAAGGTCTTGAGTTCGAGCCTTTGTGAATGTAGCAAACTCCCTTGGGAGAGGACCCCGCATATGCGCACAATAAACCAAAACAAAACCAAACAGATGCCCAATTTTCTTGCATTTGTCTCACCATTTAGTTTATTGGCTTTCAATCAGATACAAGAATCAGAGCGTTGCGATTAAAATTGTACATGGAGGAGACACTCCCGATGAAATTGAAAAGAGAGAATCGCGTTTCGCAAGGGAGGTTGCCATGTTGTCTAGAGTTCAACACAAGAACTTGGCAAAGGTTGGATTCAATTTTGAGCATTTTCAAGTAATTTCCAATGATATTGTTCTAACTTCTATTGGTGTTTCGACAGTTTATTGGTGCGTGCAAAGAACCGGTTATGGTAATAGTCACCGAGCTCTTGTTAGGTGGAACATTGCGTAAATACCTGCTAAACATGCGTCCAAGTTGTTTAGATAAATGTGTAGCAGTTGGTTTTGCGCTTGACATTGCTCGTGCAGTCGAGTGTTTGCACTCTCATGGGATCATACACCGAGATCTGAAACCCGGTAATTCTTATATTTGAATTTCTAAAATCATCTCCTGGATTATATTTCAATCCAAAACTTGTGAGAAATTTTTAATCATTCTTGGGAAGGATTGAAAAAAAACAAATGAGAAAATAGTGCTGCTACATTTCCTCAATGTCCCAATGGTTCCCTCTCCTCTTTTGCTTAAATTAACTCTCTGGTTCATGTCCTTCAATATGTTTCTATTGTTTAATACATGAATTACAAAACACTAATATCCTGTAAACGTGGATCCTTTTAAGTTTTAATAAGTGGAACGGAAATACATGGTACGTTGTGTGCTCTAAAATGCAGTACGATAAAAGTAGACTTGTGTAGTTTATACTATTAGAATTCAAAGTACTTCTAGACTAATTTTCTTTCAATAATTAGGCATCCAATAAATTTAGTTTCTTTTTTTTTTAATTAATTATAACAATACATTTCTATGATCCATTTTTTTACATTTGCCCTTGCAAAACTCCACTCTCCTTAGATTTTAATTTATTATATTTGATTTTTGTTCTCCCACAAAAACCTTGGGATTTCTTTGAATTGCTAAATCCACTGTGTAGAACGGAACTGTACCATATTTCAAAACATAAATTGCTTGAGTATTAGCGTTTTCTGATAATATTAATCTCCACATACGAAGCAAAACAATACTGATGCCAGGCTTTTCAAAAACTATTGCAGAAAACTTAATCTTGACTGCAGATCAGAAAACAGTTAAACTCGCGGATTTTGGATTAGCAAGGGAAGAGTCGATAACAGAGATGATGACTGCTGAAACAGGGACATATCGTTGGATGGCTCCAGAGGTACTTCATTGAGAAATTGCATAATTTTCTGTGTGTGCACACATGCACGTGTGTGTGGACTTTGTAAGTGATTAGTTTGTTGTGTTGGTGGTAGTTGTACAGCACTGTTACATTGAGGCAAGGAGAGAAGAAGCATTACAACCATAAAGTAGATGCATATAGCTTTGCCATTGTGCTTTGGGAGCTTGTACATAACAAGTTGCCATTCGAAGGCATGTCGAATCTGCAGGCAGCATATGCAGCCGCCTTTAAGGTAATATAATCTTCCTCATTTATCTAATATTATGGTCCTGTTTGGCACAACTTATTGGAGTTGCTTATAGCTTTTTTTATTTTGCAAATTTGTGCCAAAATGGTACAGCTTCTACTTAATAGCTTATGAGACACACATTATTTATGATATTATGGTCATGATTTGCGTTACTTATTGGAGTAGCATATAGCGTTTTGTATTTTGAGAATCTGTGCCAAAATGGTGCAGATTCTGCTTACAACTTATGAAATACAAATAATTTAAATAAGTTAATTATCTGGAAGCTGGGGGACAAGTGTTTTTAATTTCTATTTTTTATTTAAAAAAATGAACAAATTTACATGTTCTTGGATTGATCTGTCCAAATTTTTTCATTGTCATGACCTTTCTTTGTCCTGATTCAGAATGCACGACCTAGCTTGGAAGACCTCCCGGAAGAACTGGCCATAATTTTGGATTCATGTTGGAAGGAGGATCCAAATACCCGGCCCAACTTCACTCAGATTATACAGATGCTCCTACAATATCTTTCCACCATCTCACCTCTCAAGCCCGTTTCTAGGCTTTCCATCCCGGAGAACACCATCTTGCCTCCAGAATCTCCAGGCACAAGTTCTTTGATTGCGCTACATGATGACTCAAGGGAAACACCCCGAGGAGAGATAGAAAACAAACCAAAAAGTTCATTCTTCTGCTTCAACCAGTGCTATTAGCCGTTCAATGACTGATGAAGAGTGAAAAAATGGGCTTCAATCAATCCCACAAGTTCATTTTGATTACATTGTAAATGTGAAATCTTGGATCAAATTTTGATGTTCACTTCAATTTGTGGGATGAAATGTGGAAGCCTTGCAAGATCTTAGTTCTGATAACTTAGTTTTTATGATAAAATAACTTCTAGGATGTTTATATGCTTATTTCTGCACTTTTCTGAGCCGGGACATAAACTCGAATGCTGTCTGCCAAACTCGTTTTCTGTATCAATTTAAAAAAATCAAAAACAGAAGACAGTAAACCAAAATAATATCAAATGTGCAAGTTTTATTTTATTTTTGGTGTTTAAGAAACTGGAAGAGTATTTTTCTAAAACATTCTTATTGTTTCTGTTTTCTAAAGAGTTCCTTAAACTAAAAGGGATGATGGATATATATATAAATATATATTGAAGATCCAAACACAATCTTATATTAGCCAGAAATGCCTCCTATGGGTAACGTGAATAGTTCAATTCATTCAAATGTGCTCAATATTGTCTTTATGGTTTAATTACACTTACCACTACTATATTTTCATTAAAATCTATCTTTGGTCATTTTATTTGTGATAGCCGACTCCTTACACTTTTTTAAGTCAAGTTGCAAAGTCACTTTTCTATACACCTACTGTTATTGAGATTCTGTCCACCAACTGTTAATGAGATTAATAAAATTTAAGTGGAGGGACCAAAGTAAGATTTTGGTAAAAATGTAGGGCTATTAAGTATAAATAACGTTTTCATCTATATAGTTTGACTCAAATTTCATTTTAGCCCATATAGTTTCAATTTGAACCCTACACTTTAAGTCTAATTTCAATTTGGTCATTCCGTCTGAATTTCTATTAATTTTATTTATGTGTACACCTTAAAAAATTAACAAGAGTTCTAAAATTACTAATTTAAACTCCAATTTGGACAGAAGGACCAAATTGAAACTACATGACCAAATTATTCAATTTGAAACTATAGAGCTTAAAGTAAAATTTAAATAAAATTACAGGAGTTAAAAGTGTAATTAACCCTTAACCTTTTGTTGATGTATGGTAAATGATGTTTGATTTTTAATTTCTCAAATACAATTTTTTGCCTGCAACACACACTTTTAAGATTGATCTCATTATATCAGTAAGATTGGTGAAAAACTTTCCACTATTTCTCCAACCAAGAAAGATTCATGAATTGTCTAAAAAATATTCATCCAAACAAAGTTCTGGTTTAATCTTAATTACAATTTGAGAGGGAAAAAAAAAACAATGATGTAATAGTTTGGAAATGGAATTCACAACAATGAGCATGAAGTTGCAGGAAAAAAAAAAAAAAAAAAAATCAAAATTAAGTACCGTCTTTGCGGGGAATATCAGCATCATTAAATCTTCTTCAAAACATCCGGTTAAATAATTTTCTTAGGCTATTCTTACTCTCCTTGTTCTTCTTATGGCTCATACTCGAATCATCCAACACCGGGAACTCATGATCCAACACTAGCCCTGCTTCTATCCTCTTTGACACGGTCACAATCTCATAAGAATCCCACAATGATTGCCCAAAATCCCAATGGGCATTGCGGGCATTGCGGATTTCCTTCATGGCCTCAAGCTTGAATCTAGTGGGCATGCTCTTGAAATTTAGCCTCCGGGCATCAAATTCATTAGCAGGCCTGGAACTGCTAGAATGGCCATGCCTTGCCTGTGCCACGGCCTTGAGGAGTTCCAGGCCACTCTGATGATCTTCTTCAAGCTCTAGCTTACTATTCTTCATAGTCTTTCTCAAAAGAAAGTATAGTTTGGCACATCTTTATATTTGGTAAATGTGAGCCTCACATTAAAGCTGTGGTGACAGATAAGCTGTGTTTGGCTTGTTCTGTATCTGTGCGTTTTTTTCTATGAAAGGTAATTTTCTCAGTGTATTGGAAATTTTAACTGATGAGAGTGTGAGTCTTGTATCATTTTAGTTTCTAATATTTAAATTATATTAATTTAATTTTTATTATATTTTAAATTGTGTTGTTAAAATTTAATTAACGATATTAGAGTTATACTAACAAGTGCAAGATAATTTTATGTTATGAGCAAATTAATTATTTTATGTCAATTTAACTTTCATTATATTTAAGTTGTGTCATTAACATTTAATTAAGGATACTAGAGTTATACGGACATGTGCAAGTTAATTTTATGTTATAAGCGAATTAATTATTTGTTAACCACATGCCAACCAAATAACCCAATATTTATAAGGGCAAATTATAGAAATGGTCCCTATAGTTTATCCGTGGTTTCATTTTGGCCCCTACACTTCTAAATGTATCAATTTTGCCCCTACAGTTTAGTTTTTGGCTTGAAATGGTCCAATAATTAACAATTGTTGGGCTTTTGGACGGAAATCGCATGCGTGCCCTTGCATGCACGGGACTTGCAAGGGAAAAAATCAGCCATTCATAGTTGATTGGCCATCTTCACATGGCTCATCATGTAAGGGTCACCACCAAACAAACAACTAATGGTTAAGAAGAAGATGACGTGTACTTTCTATCTATTAAATAAAAAATAAAAAATATAAATTATAAATTATAAATTAAATTTTAATTTAATTAAAAATAATAATTAAAAATTATGGCCTTATAAATTAAATTTTTTTAGTGTTGTTAAAAAAATTAAATTTATATATTAAATAAAATTATTTTTTTAGTGTTGTTAATTTAAAATTATACATTAAATAAAAAATATAAATTATAAATTTAATTTAATTAAAAATTAAAAATTAAAAATTAAAAATTAAAAATTATGACCTTATAAATTAAATTTTATTAGTGTTGTTAGATTACAAATTCAACAAGGAGTTAGTCAATTGCATTCTCTCAATGCTAAAACATCCATTTCTTTCCACTGCCCTAACCGTGTCATTGGGGCGGATAATGTACATACGTAAATTGAAGGAGTCCACTTGAGCTTCACTAATCAATTCCTATTTCAAACTGCGATATATATATATATATATAGAGAGAGAGAGAGGGAGATTTGGTTATGGCGTTGGTGGCAATAGTTTCATCGCTGAGAATGAGGAGGTTGCCATCAGTGGAGGCGTTCTTGGCACTGGTGGATCTGACGGAGGTGGCTTTGGTCGAAACCCTAGCTTTGGTTTCAGCGGAGCTCATCGCATCATTCTCGAGGAGGGTTTTATCGTTTCAACGAAAGAATTCTCGATCGTTGCTTCACAACCATTCTATTTCGGGCCATTTTCATGATCTCAATCAAGAAATTGCAACGCTTTTGGATGTTTTCCTTTGAACGAGTTGAATTTGAGCGATGATATTAGTAAACAAATTGAATTGTTGCAAAAATAGTCAAGAAAGTCAAAATTGTTGATTGATAAACATGATAAAACATAGAGCCCGTGCAAGTCCCGTGTGTACAAGGCACGCGTGGGGTTTCTGTTCAAAAGCCCAACGACTGTTAACTATTGGACCATTTCGAGCCAAAAATCAAATTACAGGGACAAAATTGATACATTTAGAAGTGCAGGGACCAAAATGAAACCACGGATAAACTATAGGGACCATTTATGTAATTTGCCCTATTTATAATTTAACCAATCCAATCCTATGCTCGACTTCTCAATGTGCACATATTAGTTTAGATCAATACAAATTGAAGGTTGTTGTTTTACACACCCCATTAGGGATATAATCGGTTTGATATGATTGATATTTAGGTAAAAAATTTACTGAACGGATAATGTTAGTTTTATAGTTTTGAGTACCAATACAAATCGCTTTCCCTATCACACTGAATCACATCGAACTGAATTGATTGAAAATGTTTGGTTCGATACAGTTTAATTAGTCTAGAACCTTTCAAACTTTAGTCATTTTTAGTATAGTCACCAATCTATGTGAAAATATTAAATTAATTATTTGTCCACTATTTGAAACATATCCAATCCATCTATTTAATAAATATTTTTTAATTATTAGATTAACAAAAATACAAACAAAATAATAATAATAAATACTAAGGTTTTAAAAATAATAAGTAAGACTTAATATTATATATAATAAAAGTTTACTATCTTAGGTTATAGAGGGAATTTTTTTTAAGGTCCCTCATATTAAGATTTTATAGCATAAATGATATGAAATATTTTCAAAATTCAAATACAATTTTAAAAACAACAAACACTACACATCCCAAAACATCAAAAATAAAATTCAAAGTTAGGAATCTAGTAAAAATTAAACAAGCAACATAAATTAAGGGGAGTTTAATGTGGGCAGGAAAAATTCAAATGTTAGAGAAAATTTGAAAGAAAATCAAAGAAACAACTAGCCAGAGAAAATCAGGCAAGACATAGAGAGAAAGAGAGTCCAATATGTTCAGAGAAAATTAATCTGAAGGAGATATCTTACTGCTAGAAAAATTCATCTCAAAGGAAAACTTACACACAATGAAACAACTAATCAATGAAATCAAACAAGTAACATAAATTAGCAAGAGTTTAATGTTTTCAAGGAAAATTCAAATGCTAGAGAAAATTCTGCTCAAGGAACAATTAATCAATGAAAATCAAACAAACAACACAAATTAGTGAGAGTCTAATGTGGCCAGGGAAACTTAAAATGCCAGAGAAAATTGGAGGAAAAAATTACCCATAGAAAATCAAGCAAGGCATATAGAGCAAAATGAATCCAATGTGTTCAGAGAAAATTCATCTCAAAGGAAAAATTACACACAAGTAGACAACTAGTGAAAATCAAATAAGCAACATAATTTGATGGGTCAGGGAAAATTAAGATGCCAAATAAAATCAATCAATGCACATAAATTAATGTGATTATAATTGTGGTCAAAGAAAATTCGGATTCCAGAAAAAATTCATCATATGGAGTAAACTAACTAGTGAAAATCAAACATGCAATATAAGTTGAAATGCTATAGAAAATTCATCTCAATCAAACTAATAGCAAAGAAATTGCAGAGAAATTCATCTCAACCAAACGACTAGCTTCAGCAATATCAAGTAAGCACATAAAGTAAAGTGAATCTAATGTTATCAGAGAAAATTATAGATAGAATCACATGTCATTAGAGAAAATTCATTATTTGACTATTTTCCAAAATTATACCGTATCTTTAACATCTTTCAAGTTGACTCATAATCATGTTGTTACAAAGCTTTTCTTTTTTTAAAACTAATATAAAAAAAAAAAAAGAGAGAGAGAAATATTTCATTAGAACCAAGAAATGTGGACAAAGATTAATGAAGGAAATTTCCAAAAAGAAAGGACAATCCGTTTTCCTACTTTCTTCTACTGTCATATAGTTTTGCTACAAATAAACAGAACATTATGAGGGGAGCAAAACGAACCCTTCTTATGATGGTTTGGGCTTAAGATCTAAAACAATTTGACATATTTCCACAAGAAGATCTCCATTGCAATCCCTTGCTTCGCCTAATTCCAATTCCAATTCCAATTCCAAATCCAAACCCAAACCCAAATCCAACCACAATCTAAAATTTATGTGTCACCTAGGGGTGAGCAGCGGATATACCGATCCGCCAAAACCGACCGAACCAAATCGATCCGCCGCATTTTGGTCAAAATCACATATTTCCTAATAGTTGTAGTAATCGGTGGCCTTTCTTTGTTGAAATTTTAAATAGAAAATACAGAGACGAAAAATTGGTATATGTATAGATATATATATATATAGAGAGAGAGAGAGAATACAGGGATGACAGAGATTTGGTTATGTATATATATATATATATATATATAGAGAGAGAGAGAGAGAGAGAAAGAGAGAGCAAGAGATGGTGTGATATATGAGTATGAGTAAGGGACCTTAGGCAACAAAAAAAAATATTGTGAATCTCTCTCATTATTATATTTTTTGGTTTTTAAATCTAACTCTAAAAGTAATAAATAGAAAATATGATATATGTTGGTTGGTTTTTGTTTTCAAAAACATATATAAATATAACAATACAGAGACATAATCTCTACTATTACTCTATTCATCGTTTTGGTGGTTTGAATTGTTTTTATATTTTAAGAACCACAGATTGTAATATTTTATGTGGAGGCATGCTGTGATTGTAATATGTGAATGAGGCATGCAGTGATTGTGATATTCTAAAGTTTCAAACTTTCTTTCGTTGGATAAGGCATGCAGTAATTGTAATACTTTTTTAAGTCATTAACTGTAATATTTTCTCTTTTTTTTCTTTTTTTTTTTTTTGAGGAAGTGCACAAGTTGAACTATGTTAAAAATTTATAAAATTCAAAACCGTCAAACCGATTCACATCCATCCGCCAAACCGCCAATCCGCTCAATCCACATCCGCCGGATTGGCGGACGGATGCGGATTGATTTTTTTCAATCCACCAATCTGGCGGACGGATGGCGGATTGAAAGTTTCGTGGCCGCAACCGACCCACGCCCACCCCTAGTGTCACCCATGAACCAAAGGCACAGTGCATCAATCAAAATCACATATTTCCTAATAGTTGTAGTAATCGGTGGCCTTTCTTTGTTGAAATTTTAAATAGAAAATACAGAGACGAAAAATTGGTATATGTATAGATATATATATAGAGAGAGAGAGAGAGAATACAGGGATGACAGAGATTTGGTTATGTATATATATATATATATAGAGAGAGAGAGAGAGAGAAAGAGAGAGCAAGAGATGGTGTGATATATGAGTATGAGTAAGGGACCTTAGGCAACAAAAAAAAATATTGTGAATCTCTCTCATTATCAAAAGTTGGAGAGGAATGTCAGACCAATTT